GTCCCGGGCGGTGAGCTCCACAGTGGAGGCTACTTAAAAACAAACAAGCAGGGCGCCTGGGTGGCTCAGTTGGTTAAGGGACTGCCTTCGGCTCAGGTCATGATCCTGGAGTCCCTGGATCGAGTCCCACATCGGGCTCCCTGCTCAGCGGGGAGTCTGCTTCTCCCTCTGACCCTCTTCCCTCTCGTGCTCTCTATCTCTCATTCTCTCTCTCTCTCAAAAATCTTAAAAAAAAAACCAAAAAAAAACACCCTCTGGGGTATCCTCGTTGTTGTTCACCGCAACCAGGTTGTGGGCTTAGTAATTCCACTCATCGCCACCCTCTAGCGCATGCCCCTCCTCATGTGCAGAATCCACACGGAACACACCCCAGCCCAGCACTTCAACCCCACTCAACTCTGAAAAACCTCCCACGTCACACATACCCTCCCTCGCACCCAACGCCTACTGACCAGCTTCACGCGCAATATCAACACAACCCGCGTCCACGCGACACCCGCCCACAGCACACACCTAAGCACAACACGCCTCGCAAACAACACCTGGACGGGCAACTCCAGATGAAAACTAAGAGGCTTAATTCTCCCGGTTGAAAAGAAGGCGTGTGACTTCCCCCCTCCCTGCTTCTGTTTCAGAATTTCTTTCTTGATCCTTTTCAAATGTATGTAAATCTCTACCGTGGTTAAGTCGGCCTCTAGGAATTCTCATAACTCAGGGAATCCTGGAGCTGGAAGTCATCTTTTTTGAAATGCAAACATCTAGGAAGGTAGCTCCGGATCTCCCCCGTTCAGGGAAGAATAACAGCCTAACTTCGGTGGGGGTCTGGCTGCTAGACACTGAACCACCTCTGGTCATAGATTAGTGAGAAGCTTGTTTCTCCCCTGGATAAAAGCCAATGGCCATGATAAAGTTAGGGTGAACTATGCGGGACAAACGGTGTTGCTAAATCCTCTTACAGGAAGCCTAGTTATTGTTTATCTTGGAAACAAGATATGGGTTTTGAAATTTTATCTTGTAAACAGGATAAGGGGTTGTACCTGCTTGGCTACCTGTAGAATTCCTTATGTGAAACTGAAGGAAAAAAATCGTATTCAAAATGAGGTTGGGGGACACCTGGCTGGCTCAGTAGGTAGAGCATGCGATTCTTGATTTCAGTGTCCTGAGTTCAAGCTCCACCTTGGGCATAGAGCTTGATGTGGGGCCACGAGTGGATGGTCAAGGAAGAATTCTTGAGATGTTTTCAGTGCAAAACGGTGCTTTTATTGTAGCACAGGGACAAGACCTGTGGGCAGAAAGAGCGGCATCTTTGCTGTATGAAGCTGGTGGTTATATGCTTAGTGTTCAAGGGGGAGGGGACATGCAGGGAATATTAAATCATCAATGTCTTCTTCAAATTTTTTTTAAAGATTTTATTTAGTTATTTTAGAGAGGAAAGGAGAGCACGCAGGGCGGGGGTGGTGGGGGGGAGGGACAGAGAGTAAGGGAGAGAATCTCAAGCTGACTCCTCACTGAGCACAGAGCCCCACTCGGAACCCACACAGGGCTCAATCCCAGGACCCTGAAATCATGACTCAAGGGGTAATCAAGAGTCAGGCACTCAACCAACTGAGCCACCCGGGTGCCCCTCTTCTTCGAATTTCTACTTGTAAAACTACCTTCACGAGATTTCTCTGGTGCTTATCATTCAGTTCGATATTAACTATTGGTGACATGTACAGACAATCATGAGACCCTTTAAGAATGTAGTAGCCAAAAAAAAAAAAAAAAAAGGACGTAGCAGCCAGCATGTATTTGATCCTTGTTGGAACTACGCAGGCTTTAGATCAGCCTTCTGGGCTAAAGATGAACATTTCTCTGCTTCTATCTCTCATCAGAGCTTACTTAAAAAAAAAAAAAAAAGTTGGGAGGCCAGGGGGGGAGCTCTCATTTCCCATCACTTCTTGCAGACCTTTCCAGAACCAACAAGAAACAGCTTATTAAAAAAAAAGAGAGAGAGAAAGACTTAGCTTGTACTTGCAAGAGGAAAAAGCCTACCCAGTAGAAGGAGATTTTCCCTTCACCCAGCAACAGCCCAGTCAATGTGAGGCCATCACAACTCAGCCAATGAGAAGCCACTATGCTTGGGACTCCCAGTTCACTCCAGTGGACTCTTTGTTTATAACAACCCCTTCCAAATCCCCTCCCCCCTTTCCCACTATAAAAGAGCAGTTCCTCTCCAGCCTTTCCTATGATTTTGTCAGAGCTTGCACGTCGTGGGTAACGTTTCTCTGCTATTCCTGATTAAACCCATTTGTGCTGGAAAAATAACTGACAGTATTATTATTATTTTTTTTTTTAGAGAGAAAGAGAGTGTGTGCACAAGTGAGCGGGAAGGGAGGGGCAGAGAAAGGGAGAGAGAGAGAATCTTAAGCAGGCTCCACGCCTAGTGCAGAACCCAAAGCGGGGCCAGTCTCAGGACCTGGCACCACATGAGCCAAAAGCAAGAGTCAGACATTCAACCAAAAGCCACCCAGGCGCTCCATGACAGTATTACTCTTCAGGTTAATGCCTGTTATGTGCATCACATTCTGGTTTAATGCTCTCAATAATAAAAACTGTTTTTGTGGGGATACCTGGGTGGCTCAGTCGGTTAAGCGTCTGCTTTCAGCTCAGGTCATGATCCCAGGGTGCTGGGATCAAGTCCTGATTCGGGCTCCTTGCTCACTGGGGAGTCTGCTTCTCCCTCTCCCTCTGCCTGCAGCTTCCCCTGCTTGTACTCTCACACACACTCTCTCTCTCTGGCAAATAAGTAAATAAAATCTTCCCCCCAAAATTGTTTTTGTGTCTCTGCTACCTTGGTGGAGGTTTTCAGCGTTGGAAGATTTTGTTTTTTCTTTACATTTCCCAACACACCCACCAACCACACTGTGTACCTCAGAAGCTACATATCCTCTGCACATCTACCTTATTTGCAACTCCTGCTCATCATGCACCCCAACGCGGCACAGACACACTTCTTCAACCTTCACACCTCCCGCATCGCCTCCAACTTATGACCCCTGACACCTCAGCCCACGCATCCCACACCACACTTCGCACACAACACGCACACAGCATACACCCAGTAGCACTGCCTCTCACACACGTGATGTTCACATAACTTGTACTTCATTCATCCATCTAGTGCAGCCTCCTGACCACCACGCAATCCCAGTCCATCCCCCTCCTCCTGACTGATATCCCCAACATACACGCCGTGACTCTTCAGCCCACACCTCACATCCTCTTTGCAGACGGAACCCAGCCCAGCTGAAGGTGCAGAACTCCAGCAGGGGGTGCTGTTCACCAGGGGACAAAGGCACCCCAGGCTCCGGTAGAGGGGGCTCCAAGCACCTCCCGGTCCCAGGAAACCTTCAGCCACTCTGTCGCCAGGCTGAGAGCAGAGAGACTGCACCAAAAACCCTTCTCCCAGCCTTGGGCCCCACCAACTACGGAGGCAGGGGTGGCCCCGAGGACCTGGGATTTCCCTCAAGCCTTCTTCTCGAACTTTGCTCAAGAGCTAGAAGTGGTCCAGCCCCTGCCAAAAAATCAGGTCATGTGGATGAGGAGAAGCTTTGGAGTGTGACTTCCTCCTGGACAAGTCTCTGCACTGGAGGGATCATCCAAATGATCTTGATGCCCCCTGGCTCCTGACACACAGCAGGCCCTTAGTAAATGCCAAGTCATAATACTGGCTCCTGTCTGAGTGCTTACCATGGCAGTGTCATGAGCTTTACGTCTCATTTTTTTTTAAAAAAGATTTTATTTATTTATTTGAGAGAGAGAGAACATGAGAGGGGGAGGGTCAGAGAGAGAAGGAGACTCCCCGCTGAGCGGGGAGCCTGACGTGGGACTCGATCCCGGAACTCCAGGATCACGACCTGAGCCGAAGGCAGCCACCCAACCAACTGAGCCACCCAGGTGCCCAAGCTTTACATCTCATTTAAGACTTATTAAGGGAGGTACAATTATTATCCCTATTTTACAGATGTCTGTCTGCAGCACAGAAAGCTTGAGGCACACACCTAGAGAGGGGGGAGCTGGGATTCAAACCAAGACAGTCTGATCCCAGAGCACTGGGCTGGAACTGCCACACCTCTGCTTCTCAGCTCCCCCCTCCCAGACCTCTCCGGGGCGGCCAGGAGAGGCTCCATCCTCTGCACTCTGCCTCTCAGGGCTTTCCAAGTGGGTCCTTCCCTCCTTCCCCACTCATTTCTGGAGCTCCTGATCTCTGCCACCACCTGGCTGGGTACCGGGGGCACAGAGAAGATGCCGACATGGATTCACCCCCAAGAAGGCAGGATGTTTTCACCCAGAGTCACATACTCAGATGCTTCAGGCCCAGGCAGGAAAGTTAAATGGAATAAAGCAGGTGGTTGAAGGGTAATAGGGAATGGCGGGGATTGTGGCAATAGGAAAAGCTTATTTTGGCCGAAGGGTAAGGTGGGAGTTTGAATGCTGAGCTAGATCTGGATTTATACTAATTTGTTTTTCTTTGCCACAGGGACTGGGTCCAAAATGGAAGCCCAAGGTAACGCTGAAGGTTGGTATCCCACCTCCCAAACTCCAAACGTACTCTACGCAATATTTAGTAGGTATTGCTTTTTCTTCTTTTTTTTTTTAAAGATTTTTTTAAAGATTTTATTTATGGGGGGGGCACCTGGGTGGCTCAGTTGTTAAGATTTTATTTATGGGGCACCTGGGTGGATCAGCTGGTTAAGATCTGCCTTCTGGGGGTGCCTGAGTAGCTCAGTCAGTAAGCATCTGCCTTCGGCTCAGGTCATGATCTCAGGGTCCTGGAATCAAGCCCCACATCAGGCTCCCTGCTCAGCGGGGAGCCTGCTTCTCCCTCTCCCTCTGCCTGCCGCTCCCCCGCTTGTGCTTTCTCTCTCTGTGTGTCAAATAAACAAATAAAATCTTAAAAAAAAAAAAAAAAGCGTCTGCCTTCAGCTCAGGTCATGATCCCAGGGTCCTGGAATCTAGCTCTGCATCGGACTCTGCTCAGCAGGGAGCCTGCTTCGCCCTTAAAAAAAAAAGAAAGAAAGCAAAAGAAAAAAAATTTTTATTTATTTACTTAACAGAGAGAGAGAGAGCGAGAGAGCACAAGCAGGGGAGTGGCAGGGAGAGGGAGAAGCAGGCTCCCAGCCAAGCAGAGAGCCCAACGCAGGGCTCGATCCCAGGACCCTGTGATCAGGACCTGAGCCAAAGGCAGATGCTTAACGATTGAGCCACCCAGGAACCCCCACCCTGAGAATTGGGGTTTTAAGCCCCACATGGGGACAGAAGTCAAACTGAGGCCCCAGGAACAGCACAGAACTGAAACCACACACCCTGCACAAAGTTTGGAGCTGAGAATGGGCTGTCTGTTCTGGGTGCAGGAGACAGAGAAAAAAAATCCATCCACAGGCCTTGGGATGCAGTATGGAAGCAAGCCTCCCAACAGGGAGTGGATGGGAAAAGTCACTGCACGAAATCAGAACCCCAAGGTTCACCAAAGTATGGGCTTGGATTCTGACCAAACCTCTGGTACGAACACCTGCTCTGAGATACTCACTCATGAATAAAATGGTAAGAAACCTGTGTTGCCTGTAAGACTGTGGCAAGCTGGCCCCCAGGGATGGCAGTGGCGCCCAGGGGACTCCTGTAGGCAGGAGAAACACAAGAGAGGTCAAAAAACCTTCCACGATGACACCACCACAGGAAAATCCAACCCGTTGTACAGATAATAGTAACCACACCATGCCCCCTCCCTAATGCTGTTTTATAATTGGGACAACTGAGGGTCATTGAGCTTAAGCAAGTTACCTAAGGTCAGTTAGCAATCGAAGTATTTGATTTCTCTGTGACTCAGTCTTCTCAGCTGTAAAATGAGAATAATTTTAGCGTCCCTCCTTCATAGGATTGTTGCAAAGATAAAATGTAAAGCACTTATTAGAATGATGCCTGGCACATAATAATAGTGTTAATACAGAGAAAGTTAAGTTCTAAAGATTCAGAGATAAAGAAGGAATAGAAGCTCTAAAAAACGGGACATTATGAAGAAGGAACTGGTGCATTAAGAAAAGGAATTCTGGAGAGGCGCCTGGGTAGTTCAGTCGGTTAAGTGACTCTTGATTTCGGGTCAGCTCACGATCTCAGGGTCATGAGATGGAGCCAGGCATTGGGCTCTGTGCTCAGCAGGGAGTCTGCTTGTCCCTCTGCCTGCCCCTGCTCATGCTTTCTCAAATAAATAAATAAAATCTTGGGCGCCTGGGTGGCTCAGTTGGTTGGGCGACTGCCTTCGGCTCGGGTCATGATCCTGGAGTCCCCGGATCGAGTCCCGCATCGGGCTCCCTGCTCGGCAGGGAGTCTGCTTCTCCCTCTGACCCTCCCCCCTCTCATGTGTGCTCTCTCTCATTCTCTCTCTCAAATAAATAAATAAAAATCTTTAAAAAAATAAATAAAATCTTTAAAAAAAGAAGAAGAAGTAGTAGTTTATCAGAGAGTAGGCACACTGGCTAGAACTGCAGCCAGATTTCTGGGTTCATATCTAGTGCTGCGAAGCACCAGTCATGTGACCTTGGACCTGTCACTTGCCTCTCTGACATTCAGTTTCCCATCTACAAAATTGCAACCAGAAAGGGAGAGTGTCAAGACTGAGTATAGGCTCTGGAATTAGACCGTCAGAGTTCGAGCGCTGACCCCAGCTAGGCGAGGTTGGGCATGTTCCTTAGCTTCTCTGCCTCAGACTCTCACCTCTGAAATAGGGTTGGTTATGAAGATAAAATGAGCTAATATACATAAACCTGTGTGTACATATATATATATATATATATATATACTATATACATAAAACAGACATAAATACTTAAGATACAATCCTGGCACCTAAGTGCTTGATGACCTTGTGAGGTTATTGTAGAAATGAAATGGGTTGACTGGCGTGGGAACAGAGGAGATGCTCAGTAAAGGCCCGTGATGACCATGCATTCCCGTCCAGCTTCCTCTTCCCTGGGCCCCCACCGCCGCTGAAGCAACGATCACTGAACAACTGGACGGTGGCCATGGCAGGCAAGTGAGGGAGACAGGGGCAGGCAAAGCCACTGGAGGGAAAAGGCCCCTCCTTTGTACCCAAGATTCAGCTCTCCCTCTTCTGCCGGATTCAAGAGAGGGGTGGAGAACACGCATCCTCACCTTCCCTTCCCCTCCCATACAAGGGCACCCTCCCATATAAGGGCATTTACATCCAAGGATCGGAAGAAGTCATTGAGTTTATTGGGGGAGTGCAAGGGAAGCCAAAGTTTCATTGGTGTACACACACACACACACACACACACACATCCAAGGCAACGTTGCTCCAGAGGTTGATGCTGTCTGCTCAGGGTCCCAGATTTCAGAATCAGGTATGGATCTCAGGGGCCTAAGGAGGCCCGGGCTATGGAGAAGAAATAGTGATGCAGAGGTTCCAGAAGCCCCCCCACCCCCCCCCCCCCCCCACCCCCGAACACCAGGTCTTGGGAACCCTTTCCCCTCTCCCTCCCTGAGAATCACTTCCACCCCTACTCATCTCCTTCTTTCTCCCCCTTCCTTAGAAGGCAGTTCCCGGCTCACGTGAAGGGAATCATCTAGTGCTCCAGGTGCCCATGTGGCCTCCTCCTCCCCATGCTGGTTCTGGCCCATTGGGATTATCCATGTCCATGTTCTCATAGGAGTCTGCATCTGATTAGCACCAGGAAGGGTGAGATACAGCAAGAGCCAGAAGTAGGCTGGGAGGGGGTGAGACTCAGAGGACAACAGGGGACAGAAGCAGAAGCACCCACCTTCCTCATGGCTGGGACCAGGCTGGGCCCGAATGGAGCGGAGCTGGGGGGCTGCATACAGGATCCCTCTCATATCCTCGTACGACTGGGAGCCTGCTTGGGCAGGAGAGTTGGTGGCCTAGAGCCACATTGGACTTGGGGAGGGGAAGTGCAGCCTAAGACACAGAGGGAATCTGAGGGGCAGGGGAAGGTGGAGGGCTTGACCCATGCTGTACTAGGAAAGAGAGATTAGGTTCGGTGTCAGATTCAAGGCCCTTGTTAAGGGTTTGGTCAGGTGTGGGTTAGATTATGATCACTGTCAAGAACAGAACTGGCAGAAGTCAAAGTCAAAGTCAGAGCCATGAGGAGGTTGTAGAGACAACTGAGGTCAAAGCTGTGGTTTGTACGGGGGCTGGCGTGAGGTAGAGGTCAAAATCCAGGCTGGAATCACAGGGGGATCAGAGTTTATGTTCATAGTTAGGGATGGGGTAAATCCTGGGATCAGGATTGGGGTTGAGGTTAGTGTTAGGAATCGATGCAAGGCCAGAATTACACCTGGGGTCAGAGTCAAGGTCAAGGTTGAGGTTGAGCCCGGAGTCAGAGCTGAGACCCAGGTCAACCCAATCGGCCCAAGGCAGGATGGTTCCTAGCATTTCTCACCAAGAGAGGTTGCTTCCCTGCTGGGGTCCCAGGCTGACCCATGGGGGCTCAGGAAGTCTAGAGAAGAGAAAGGAAGTTATTCCTCCTGGGCTCGGGCTCACACATACACTCCTGCCACCCCACAGCCCACATTAATGTGACTGTCCTCACACATACCTACTGTCCTGGTGACTGGCTGGGCCAGCTCTTCATCCTCATTCTCGTAAGATTCGGCTGCTGCAGGAAAACAGAGAACTCCAGGGGCCATTCCTGCCCTGTAGGGGCTCCAGGGCCGTCTGGGTCCTCCCAAGCCTCTGAGGCCCCACAAGGACCCCAAATTACCGCTGGAGAAGGAGTCTTCATCCTCAGGACCCAAGGCCCCATTCTCGGGGTTCTCATAGCCGCTGCCATCTGGTGGAGAAGGAGAGGGTCCAGCGAGGGCCCAAAGCCCAGCGCTGAGAAGGTGGGGGAGCCTCGGGGGGCGCAGTCCTACCCTGGGAGAGTTGGTCCTGCCCACGGTTGGAGTCGTTCTCGTAGAACTCGGAGCCCTCCTCACTGTCTGGCTCCTCATAGGCCTCCCCTTCCTCTTCTTCTGGGCCTGGGTTTTGGGATGTGAGTGGGAACCGAGTCACAGCCCCCTTCCTCCAGGCCCCAGTCCAGTATTCCAGCCGCAGACCGCTCCAACACCCCTCACGTGAGGAACCCCCCTCCAGCCCCACAATCAATCACCTGCCGGCGGCGGGCTCCGGGACCCCGCGGCTCCGGGCTCCGGGCCGTCGCTGCGCGGGCTTCCGTAAGACTGCGCGGCGGCCCCCAGGCCTGCAGCCCACCTCAGGGCGCGTCCTGGCGGGAGGAGCGTTGTAGCGGGACAGAAGAAATAGGGGCGGTCAAGGCTAAGGGTCTGCGAGGCTGGCCAGGGGACGGGAAGCTCCCGGCTCCAAGGGCGCCTTCGCGGCTGGGCACCCCCCGCCCTCGCCCTGAGCCGAAGGGGCGGGATCTACACCTGGGGGCGTGGCCTCGGTCTCGGGGGCGGTGCGGCTCTCGGAACGGGATCAGGTCCCGCGCCCTTGGGGGCGGGGCCATGAGCTCTGGGGGCGGGCTCTGGTGTTAGGGGCGGGGCTCGGATCTGGGCGGGACTCCGCGCCCCGGGGCGGGCTCTTTTTTCTGAAGGCGGAGTTCCGAGCTCGGGGAGGCTGGGCGCTCCAGGGATTGGAGTGACGAGGAAAAGGGGTGGGGCTCTAGCGCGGAGTCCGAGACCTGGCGGTGCCTCCTACCGGTGCCAGAGGAGGGCGTGGGAAGGGAGAGCACGTTCCCATACTGATTCTGGGCCCCGCTTCCCGGGGGAGGCGTCACTTTGAAGAACCTGGCGGAGGAAGGGGAGTAGCACTGTGAGACCGGGCCCTCAGAGGATAAAATGTAGTCACGTGTATTTAGCCCCTCTGTTCTGCCGCAGCCTACAGAGGGGTCTGGGATCGCTCCAAGGAGTCTTCACGAGGGGAGGTAGCTTTGGAGCTGGGCTCTGAAGCTTGGGCAGTATTTCAGCGGTAGAGGTGGGGAATGACACGCTGAGCCGAGGAAACAGTAAGTGCAAAGCTTTGAGCAAAAGTGCAGGGATGGGAGACTGCGGGGGCCCTCGCGTCATTACCTTCTGGTGGGATCTGTCATTCGCTTTCTTTTCCTCCTGAGGATCAGGGCTGGTGAGAGTTAAGGGGCGTGATCAGAGGAGGCAGGGTGAAGATTGGCGGGGCACTGGGGAGGTCACTCGGGTCAATGGAGGGGAAGGGACTTCAAAGTCCCAGGGGCCTGGTAAGTTTGGAGGGCGGTTAGAGGAGTGGGGAGCAGGACTGGAGGTCCGTGGGGGAGGTATGGGAGGAGAGAAAGGTGGTTGTCAGACTGGCCAATGTGGGCCATCCTGGGGAAGATGGGGTAGCTTGGGCAGATGGGCTGGGGGACATGACTCACCTCTTCGAAGATGAAGAAAGCTCACCAGGGAACCCAGGCAGAAAATCAGATAAAGTAATGGCACAACAGGGACTTTCCAGCCACCAGTATCTAGCAGCCAATTCCTTACTGCTGGGGAGAAGCAGCTATGAGACGGGGACCCCAGGCTGGCGTATTGCTTCCCAGCCTCAGGACCTCAAAGGGCCAGAAGTCTGGGGGACACGGACAAGACACAGATCTTCAAAATCACAAGCTACAAGAAGGGCTGGCCTCCCTCTGAGGTTAGGCACTACGCCCCAGAGCCTGACCTGGGGCCTGGGATAGTATCTATGCAACAAACCATGACTATAGTCAGACTCTATGTTAGGGTTCAGGGGAACATGATGATAAGCTTCCTGATGCAATTAAGGACAGTCATGTTCAAAGTGAGGGTCAGAGTCAAGTTCACAAGGTGAACTTAGAGGTGGGAAGCAGCAGGGTACTGGAGTGAAGTGTGAAGTGAAATTTGAGGTTGAGGTTGAGAACTGTGGTTAGGGTAGCATGGGAGGGTTGTATTAAGGGAGACAGAAGGGGCAGAGCACTGTGACCAGTTTGATGGATGGATGGGTGAGGAAAAGGAAGGATACCCAGGTTTCTGGCTTCGGCCCGTGGGCAGGTCCTTCACTGACACAGAGGCACCCAAAAGACTACCCTTGGGGAAGATGTTGAGTTTGATTTTGTATGTTTTGAGCCTGCGGGGGCATCAAATGACAGGAAATGGCTGGGGGTGAGGTGTATGGAGCCTGGAATCGGGTCACTAAGGCATGCTGGCCTAAGGAGCCGTGAGAGTAAAGGAGGTCAAACAGGAAGAGAGTGTAGACAAGGAAAAGAGAAAGTGCTGATGAGGTGAGACAAGGCCTCAGAGCTCCAACAGTGAGGAGTGCAGGAGGAAGACCCTTCCAAAGCGGGTGGGACAGAGCAACCAGTGGTAGGAGAAGACCCAGAAAAGTAGCAATTTGGAAACGAGGGAGGACAGAGGTGGAGTCAGTGGTCAATATAGAAGCTGGGGTTCGGGATGAGTCTGGTACTAGCTCTCAGTTTGGGGGAGCCAAGGTTGACTGGCTCCCAATTCTTCCCAGTAGCCCCCACACAGATGCCCCACAATTGGGAGAAACTCTACCTGACTGGGCAGTGACCTTCAGCTCCATCTTGATGGTCATGTTGCCATGATAACAATGATAGATGCCAGCATCTCGAACTGTGGCCTGGGGCAGCAACAGAACAGCCCCTCCCCTGAGGGTGCCCAGGACCCACATCTCTCTGCCTGGGTCATCCTCCCTCAAGTTTAAGCTCAGCAAGGAGATGTTATGCTTCTTAGGGCGCACGTGGGTCCAGGAGATGGGGCCTCTGGCCACGGAGGCAGGGGGCACCTCACAGGGCAGCCAGAATGTGGAGCCAGGGGCCACGGTGAGGTCTGGGGCAAGGAGAGCCAAGGCTAGGAAAGTGTAATCCTTGGGGTCTCCCCCCGCCGCGGCAAACCCTCTAGTTCCCAATCACCATCCCCCATCCCTGGAACCCCCACTTCCTGGCATCTCCCCAACACCTTACCCTGGTTGAGGCTCTGGTTCAGACTGCCCCTGGGCAGGGCACATTCAGGGTCTATCTCCCAG